GAACTGCCAGATGGGCTGAGCAGGACACCCCCTCTACTGCTGGGCTTGGAATCCCTGATCTTCCTCTTGATCATAGCATACCTGTGGTCTGCCCCGCCTCTTTACTCCACCTGAGACCATTTAAGACAAGTTTAAACTTGGGTCAAGTTTCTGGTACTTGTAGGTAAAAGCATTCTAATAGATAACCTTTTCATAGTGGCTTATACATATTTTTGGTCTATTAAAAGTCAAAAACAGGAGCACCTGGCGGGCACAGTCGGTTAAGCCTCCAACTCTTGTTTTCAGCTCAGGTCGTGATCTCAGCGTCATAAGATCGAGCCCCGCCTTGGGCTATGCGCTCAGCAGAGTCTGCTTGAGTTTCTTTCTCCATCTCCCTCTGCCCTTCTCCACCACTCAAACTCTCTCTCTCAAATAAATAAAGCAATCCTAAAAATAAATAAATAAAAAACAGTTAGAGGGGAAACTTCCTGGGTGGAGAAGAGAGTATTCAGAAGAGCGCGGATCCCAATCCCATTTCCACTTCGGCCACGTGTAACGGACACACCCACACATGGCTGGTGGCCAACAGATTCCTCTTTGCTGAAAGGGCAGCAGTTTTCCTTTCCTGAGCAGGGGGTGTGGAATGGGCGGTGAGAGGGGGAGACAGAGCAGGCTCGAGCTCCCCCTGGAGGCCCACAGGATGATTTGCACCAACTTGTCCTGGAATTTGGGGTTTAGCCGGAGTCTTAGAAAGGATGACTTCAGTGTCTTCCTTGTCCTTCACTGTCACTTCCCTGCAAGGGATACTTCACTGTCCTGCAGTGCCCTGGAAGGAAAGATCTGTTATCAGTCTGGCCCGGGCTGTTTGGTTATGTCTGAAATGCAAGGCTGGAGGGAGTTCTGTGTGGCTGTTATTGTCTGTGACCTGATTTTTCTTCCAAACCACCCAAGGAGAAAACTTTTTAGTTACGCTTTTCTGTTTTGAAAACAGGCAGACACACAGAATGGTTGTATTATTCAGGACACTGTGGTTAGAAGTAACAGGGGCCAACTCAAATTAGGTTAAGCAAAAAGGAAGAATTATAAGGGTATGGTGTTTCACAAAATCCCAGGGCAGGACTGTAGCCAGACCTCAGGAAAGAACCACAAGGCTGTCAGGAGGCTCTTGTTTCAGCTCCTCTTTGTCTGTATGTTGCTTTTTTTTCTTTTTTTTCTGGCCGAAGGCTCAGAAAAAAGTCCGCTCAGTGTAAGGGGCACACGAGTAGCTCCTGAGTGTGACATCTGGAGTCCAGCCATCCACAGAGCCTTGCTTGCAGACCCAATTCAAATTCTAAGACAATCTGATTGGTCGCTGGCACAGGAATCTGCCTCTCCCGGTCCGATACATTTTCACCAGGGACTAGGGTCCCACACTCTCTGGGTAGTTGACCAGCTTGGAGAATTGGCTCACAGTTTAGGCAAACACCCTACAAGAGCTCCATTTTAAGTGCTCCTCCCTGCTGGAGTAGAAGGTTCCAGATCTTGGGACAGGGAAGAAAATGTGTCTGGAACAGACTGATGATAAGCATGTCAAAATGGTCCCCACTGGGGGGACGTTGGAGAATGCTTTAATGGCCATGAAAGTACACAACCGTATCCTCCTGGATCACGAACACAATATTTAATCAGGAAGGCAGACATTTATGTGGAACCAGGCCTGGGACAAATCAAATATCTGTCTAAATATTTAAGTATTTTATCTATATCTTAATTATTTTAAAATATTTAAAAGCTATAATACCTGAAGCCAGCAAACTGTTATAATATATGCTTTATCCTCCTACCATGACAAATATATCTTTATAATGGCAAAATCAAAAATATTGTCAAGCTGTGGTTTCCATATGACTAAAAGTTGACAACATACCAAAGCAATGGAATTTAACAATCATTGTGCATGTCTGGTTGTTTAGTTGATGATCGGTGACATTTGGATAAGAAAAAAATATATAGATAGATGATGAATATAATTCATAATTTATCATATATTTATTCTGTATAATTTAATTTTCTTGCTTTTGTTTCAGCAAAATCACTAATCATGCTTTTATAATCAAGATTTCTCACATAATTTTGAAGCCAATGACAGTTTGGGGTTGCTTTTTGTTTTTTGTGGGGTTTTTTGTTTGTTTTTGGTTTTTTGTTTTTTTGCCAATGACAATATTAATCTGCCAACGAACTATATCCTGTGGACCAAAGGCAGCCTATGGCTTGGTTTTACCCCCACAGGCTCAGAATCATTTTTACATTTTATTTTATTTTTATTTTTTAAGATAATAATTTTATTTATTTCAGAGAGAGAGTGCATGCGAGCAGGGGAGAGGGGCAGAGGGAAAGGGAGAGAGAGAATCCCAAGCAGACTCTACGCTGAGCATGGAGCCTGATGCGGGGCTCGATCTCAGGACCCTGAGAGCATGATCTGAGCCGAAATCAAGAGTCAGATGCTTCACCGACTGAGCCACCCAGGCATCCCCATTTTTACATTTTATAGAGTTATATATTTAAAAAAAGAAGAAAAGACCTTCAGTGGCTCACAAAACCTAAAATATTTACTGTCTGGTCCTTTACAAAAATTTTGCCAACCCTTAATCCAAAGTACGCCCCAAGGTTTGGTCTGCGAGCTGTCTGCTACTAGTCCGCGTTGAGGTAAGGAGCTTGTATCAGAATCAAAACCATCTACATCCTGAAGCACACTGTTTTAGTTGAGCTGACACTTTTTCATGGCAAGACTTTCTCAATGAAGGAAGCAGTGTGTTGATTACATTTTGACCCATGCTCCTTACAGATTTGCAGACCAGCACACCGAGTAGTAATTATCTGAGGAATTAAAAAAGATGAGTGTGGGGCACCTGGGTGGCTCAGTTGTTAAACGTCTGCCTTCGGCTCAGGTCATGATCCCAGGGTCCTGGGATCGAGCCCCGCATCGGGCTCCCTGCTCTGTGGGAAGCCTGCCTCTCCCTCTCCCACTCCCCCCGCTTGTGTTCCCTCTCTCGCTGTGTCTCTCTCTGTCAAATAAATACAGTCTTTTAAAAAAAAAGTGTGTTCAAAGTGCTCAAAATTTAACTCAAGGGTAAATTGAGGCAAATGTAAAAAATGTTTAAATTAAAATTATCTTTTATGTTTTTAGAAATTATTTTTCTTCTAAAACACTCAAAGTTGGGGCACGTGGCTGGCTCAGTCAGTGGAGCATGTGACTCTTGATCTCAGGGTTGTGGGTTCTAGCCCCACATTAGGTGTGGAGATTGCTTAAAAAATAAAATCTTTTGAAAAAATTTTAAATACTCAAAATTATCTATTAAGATTAAAAGATAGGGGGCTCTGGGTGGCTCACTTGGTTAAGTGTCCGACTGTTGGTTTCAGCTCAGGCCATGATCACAGGGCTGTGAGATGGAGCCCCATGTCAGGCTCCGTGCTCAGTGTGGAGTCTACTTGAGATTCTCTTTCTCCCTCTCCTTCTGCCCCTTCCCCCTGCTCACGCACTCTCTCTCTCTAAAACAAATAAATAAATGTATAATTTTAAAGAAAAGATTAAAAGAAAATCAAGGTTATAATGGACACATACCAAATTTAAAAATCAAATTTATTTTATTTAATCAAATTTATTTGTTTATTTAATTTTTGAAAATTTAAGACATTAAACATTTTTATAAAAATAAAAATGATTGTGGGGCGCCTGGGTGGCTCAGTTGGTTAAGCGACTGCCTTCGGCTCAGGTCATGATCCTGGAGTCCCGGGATCGAGTCCCGCATCGGGCTCCCTGCTCGGCGAGGGGCCTGCTTCTCCCTCTGACCCTCTTTCCCTCTCGTGCTCTCTATCTCTCATTCTCTCTCTCTCAAATAAATAAAAAAATCTTTAAAAAAAAAATAAAAATGATTGCAACATCAGCTTTCAATGACCAACCAACTTGCCAAGTGTAAAGAGTTTGTGTCACATTTCAAGCATGATACATCTAGATCTACATATAGAAGAATTAATGCGTACAAATGGTTTACTACTTTCAAATGTCCCTGGAGTCACGAAATGCAGTCACTGTGAATACTATGCTAATTGTTTTAAGCACTTTTAGAACCCCGCGTGGAGGGCAAGAGAAGACATTTGTCTTTTTCTTTTATGCAAGCAGTTGGCAGATCAAGTCTTACCTGCGCTCCAAAGCACTGCCACAGACTTTCAGTGCGTCTGGATGCAGTCGTCTTTTGAGGACATAAGGTGTGGAGAAGCATTTCCCTGGGGCCTGAACACTGTGAGTCCTAAGAGTGGATATCTTGGGTAACAGGTTGTGCCGTGCTCATGTTGAGCACTGGATCCCAAGCGACAGAGATGCCCAGGTGGTCATCAGCAAGCACTCGTGTCTGTGATATACAGTGTTCTCTAGAGCCCAGGACCCAGTGAGGGGCTTCTCTGGCCTGCTTCTCAAGGCAGGACTGAATGGGACAATCCAACATCATCTTCCTGTTTAGCTATGTTATTGTAGGAAAGTGCATGTGCCATTGCACCAAATGATTGTCCAGGTTAGCTAAAGCCACCAAAGCTTTTGCAATAGAATCTTGATGACATACACAATGGAATGAGGTATGTGTTCAATTCTGGGTTTGGGAGTATTAAAAAAAAAATGATTGCTGGTCTATATCCATAGCTGGGAAATGCTGAATTAAACAAAATTAACCCCATTTCTTTACTGTGGGACTTCTCAGAGCCTTTAGTATGCTAATGTGAATTGCAACTTTCCAAGAGGGATATACAACTTTTGGTATTTTTCAAAATTATCGGACCACCAAAACATTTTTCAGGGAGTTTTATGCATGTCTCTGAGCCACATTTTCAGAGATCCTGACCTACCTAGAGCATCTTCAGCAGGAAAGAGTGGAAGCCCAGTAGTTGTGGAAGCTGCCAACTCCTGAGATAACAGAGAGAGCCTTCCTCCACAACACGTGATGGCTCCTCTCTGCAGATGACATGGGTCTTGAGTGGTCACCAATTGCACCATTGCACTTACACTGCCTACCATGGCACCTAGCACGGGGTCGGAGTTCAATCCCTGGCGTTCTGCAATGTGTCCTGGCAGTAGCACATCTGATGCCAGGGAAACCTCTGTTCGGGCAGACAGGGGACTACAGTGCTCCCCTCCCTCTGCCTGAATCCCATCTGTCCTCCAGGCCGCAGCCAAGCTCTCTCCACCGAGCCTCCTTCAGCTGCCTGGCCCTTGGTCACTCCTCCCTCCTCTGATCCCCTGATCCTGGCTGCGCAAGTCTGCTAGCAGACTGAACTGGACCAGGCTGCAACATCCTCAAGACCAGGACCCTGTATTATTCACATCATCTGAGTCCCCAGGGTAGCAACAAATAATCATTTGTGGAGGCTGGAGAGGATGCTTCTGACTCTGATATAATTTCTACCAAATAATCCTCAAAAACCCCCACAGCCATTCTTTTGACCAAGGATACCAACTCACACTATACTCTCCTGCAGGAGATCCAACGAGAGGAATCGAGATACCGTGTGTGTGGATGCTCCGGAAATGGTACCGCATCATACAAATAATGATTGTTATTGATGGGCCTCTGTCGCCCTTCTCAGGGAATGGTCCATTTCTAATGACCCTTAGCCTCTGATGGGTATTTCTAGTAACTGAGCCCGACGCACCTGCCCCGCCCGCTGGCTTGTCCTTTACAGCATTCGTCTCATCAGGAGTCCCACCACCAGTATCCGCTGTCTTATATACCCACCCCCCAGTAAGTCTAGAGCATTTCTGATGCCCAGGCGCCTTCATGTAGAGCACTGGAGATGGTTCTTGAAGTAGTGGAGAGCCAGCTTGAACCGGACCTGGTTCCTGGTGTTGGTCCGGAATGCGCTGTAGGTCTTCTCCAGGGTCGCCAGCTCTGGGTCGGCCGCTGGAGAACGGGCCTGGTGACCTATTATCACTTCTGGACATGACCCCACGAGCAAGCTCCCGAGCCCATCGATAAAGAACTCTGCCAAGAGAGGGAGAACACGAGCTTCAGCCAGAGACGCGGGGCCATATTCCAGGTCTGGGGGGAGAGGCAGGTGGGGAAGGGCACGGAGCCCCCTGCCCAGGCTGACCGAGTTGGAAGGAAACAAATGAGCACATTTCTTAGAGGTGTAGCCAGAGGCAGAGAGACCCAGGTGAGCTTTCCAGCTGGACAGAACTGTGAACTCTGGAACTGAGGGGGTCGGAGGGGAACGAGGGAGGGGACAGAGCTGCAGGGGAAGGGTGTCTCACATGGGAGCAGCAGACAGGAGATAAGTTACAATGAGAGGGAGGAGGGAGGCAAGAAAGACCCTGAGCTCCCTCATGGGGGGGGGCGGGGAAGGGAGAGAAGCCCACTGTTGCAGGCAAGGACCACGATCAGTGGCTCGTGGCTCTTGGAAAGGACAAAGTCCTGAGGTCAGTCCACGGGCCAGGACCTTCCTCACTCAGCTTGTCCCCACCTGAGTGAGCCACCCGCTGCAGGCGGGGGTCGAAGCCAACTCTCTGGAGTCGCTCCGTGTGGGCCAGGAAGAAGTTGACAACGCCACTGGTCACCACGCAGCGGGGAAAACCATCCAGGGGTCTAAAAGAGCCTGGTCTCCGGTGAAGACAGTCCCCATTCTGACTCTTCTGCAGCAACAGCTTAAACTGGAACACATTCCCAAGTACACTGCCACCTACCTAACCGGTGGGCAGAAAAACACATGTTAGAGAACACAGACTTGATATCCATGTTGCCTCTGCCAGGAAGACTTCCTGGACTGAACCTCAGTTACAACGAGAATCACACCTGTTCTGTATCTACCCTTCACACTCTTCCTTGGATACTCTCTCGTTGCTGTTGGGGCCACAGCCTTCCGCACATCACGGCTAGGTCCCTTGATCTTTTCATCCTGCTCACCCCAGAAAATCTCCTTGGTGGGAGCAGAAAGCGCCAAGTCCAAAGGGCACACAACCCTGCCCTACTCACCTGACAGCAAGTTCCCCCTTTCCAAACGGTAGGGCACTCCCTTTCACAAGGAGGAGCAGTGTTTGGGGTGCAGGCAAGCAACAGCCTGCGTGCACACGGGGCCCTTTGTGGAGTCCCCACTGCCGGGCTTCTTGCAACGAGCCGTGTGCCGTGTGTCTCAGGCTGCCTTCCCCCCGCTCCTCTGCTCCTGGGTCTCCTCCCCGAGCTGTCTGTGCACGCACTCACCGAAGATACGTGCATTTCTATGTGTGAGCCCCAGCAAAGCAGGATGAATCCTGAGCCATCATAATCATCTAGGGTGGCTCCTTGTCCCCCATCTTCTTCCTTTAGCAAACAGACCGTCTGAGTTGTAAGTGGACTAAATTAAGATGCAGCCAGCTACGCCACTAAAGATGGACCCTCCCCACTTCCCTTGCGAGGTCTGACCATGTGTCTCAAGTCCTGGCTGAAGGGATGTGAGTTGGAAGGGATGTCTGCAACTTCTAGCACATTTTGCAAAGACAAATGCTTGTTCTCCATGTTCTCTCCCCCTTTCTTCCAGCCACGCAGCCAAGGCCCAAGAGGACGGCGCAGCACCAAGGGAAGGAGGCTGGTCCAGGCAGACGCTGGAAGCAAAGTCAAGGACCAGCTTGGATTTTTACACGACAGGAGCTATGCTTTCTACCTCACTGATGCGACTGTGATTTGCTCTCTGGAAGAGGAGTAGCCAGAAGGTATCTCTGGGCACACAGGCTGTTGCTTGCCTGCACCCCAAACACTGCTCCTCCTTGTGAAAGGGAGTGCCCTACCTTCTGGAAAGAGTGAACAGATGCCTTGGGGACTGTCTTCCTGGAAGAGATAACTGTGATCACAATGCCACTGATTTTCTTACCCATTTCCTGTTTTTTCTTTTCTTTAAAAAAAAACAAAAACACATAGCTTTTATTGAGCTATACATTAAAACTGTACATATATTTTAAATTCTATATAAAGTGTACAGCTTGATGTTTTGATATATGTCTACACTGGGAAAAGATCACCACAATCAAGCTAATTAACATATCCATCACCTGCATAGTTATCGTTGTGCACGTGGCCAGAAGATTGAAGATCTGTTTTTTTTGTTTTTTGGGGTTTTTTTTTTGCTTAGCAAAATGATTATTTTATTTTTTTAATAATTTTTATTGTTATGTTAATCACCATACATTACATCATTAGTTATTAGTTTTTGATGTAGTGTTCCATGATTCATTGTTCGTGCATAACACCCAGTGCTCCACGCAGCACATGCCCTCTTTAATACCCATCACCAGGCTAACCCATCCCCCCACCCCCTCCCCTCTAGAACCCTCAGTTTGTTTTTCAGAGTCCATCATCTCTCATGGTTCGTCTCCCCCTCCGACTTACTCCCCTTCATTCTTCCCCTCCTGCTATCTTCTTCTTCTTTTTTTTTTTCTTAACATATATTGCATTATTTGTTTCAGAAGTACAGATCCGTGATTCGCAAAATGATTATTTTATAGCATCCTGAGACAAACCCATGTATGGGGTGGGAGTGTAAGCTCGTAATGCCAGGTTACAATGCTGAGGCACTTCCTAGGAGCACAGGCAGGAGCAATCCCCAACTGATCTAGTCTCCAGGTTTCTGAAGCACACCATCCGTTTCCCTGTTTAGTAAGTATCCGGAAGCAGCATGTAGCTCATCCTGAGGCCATTATGATGGCTCGGGACTCATCCTGCGTTGCTGGGGCTCACACACAGAAATGCACATACCTTCGGTGAGTGTGCGCACAGACAGCTCGGGGAGGAGAGCCAGGAGCAAAATTCTCTCAAGAATACAAGAGACTATTATTAACTGTAGCTGCCTTTTGCTTTTCTATATTTCAAATGACTTTTGAGGCTCTCATTCTTCTCTTTCTTCTTTTTTAAATGTCATTAGGGCTATGTGTGCTTTTATTTTTTGTTTTAAGATTTTATTTATTTATTTGAGAGAGCGAGAAAGAGAGAGAGCACGTGAGAGGGGGGAGGGTCCGAGGGAGAAGCAGACTCCCGGCCGAGCAGGGAGCCCGATGCGGGACTCAATCCCGGGACTCCAGGATCATGACCTGAGCCGAAGGCAGTCGCTTAACCAACTGAGCCACCCAGGCGCCCCCTATGTGTGCTTTTAAAACTTTGTACCATTCGCGTTTTTTTTTTTTAATGGCGTGTGACAACCAGAGAGCACTGCTGCTCCACCTCACACCAGTCCGGGGGGGGGGGGGGGGGGGGGGGGGGGGGTTAGAAGTGATACATAAACACACCATTTTAAAGACAGAACAACGGTTAATGTGGGGGGGCTGTAATTTGCTCAAAGAAAATTAAATTTGGAGGCAGAAGCAGAAACCGCATAGCTCCTGATTCCTGGTGTGATGCTCTCAATCAGAGCAGTGCTGGCTTATTCCTCTCCTGCATCAGCCCCTGGCCCTCCCCAGGACCCTCCCCCTCCTGCCCCTTCCTCTCCCCTCTCCTCCTCCCCTTCCCTCTCCTGGCAGTCTCTACAGGTTGCAACCCGGGTAAACCTGGCAACTCTCCCTTACCACGTCCAGCTCTGTTTTCTCGAGGACATCCACCAGCACCTCAATCTTGGTGTTGTTGTTGAAAAGGAAATCATCGTCCACCCAGAGCACGTATTTGGTGGTGACCTGAGAGATGGCCAGGTTCCTACCAGCAAACCAACCCTGAAGGTGGAACGAGGTTAGATCAGTAGTTGCCATCCCTGGGAGCTTTTTAAATTCCCAACAGCCAGGCTGCGCCCCAAACAGCAGTTGAGAACCACTGGGTTAAAGGAAGTCTGTGTCTCAGAGACACTGGAGGAAAGACAGTGACTCCCCTGAATCAAACGCTGAGGCAAAGAAAGGCTAGGAAGTCCTTCCTTGGTCCTAGGACCAGTGTGGATGGATTGAAGTCCTTTTTCAACTGAGTCTCTGTGGCTCTCCTTCCATTTCCACTGTTGGTGCCTGGAAGGTGTTGGAGGGTGGGGCGCTATGGTACTTATAATATCCATTTCCTTCTGTGTGTCCTTGTAGGAGGGAGGGTGTGTGTGTGGGAGAGAGAGAGAGAGCCTCTAGCTTGGGTAAAATCATAGGGATCACAAGTTTCTCTGCATGTCAGGAATCCCTAGAATGTCAGACACCTCAAGTCACTTAGGATCTCAATTAATGTCCATACCAATCACTAGGGAAGGCAGACTAACCACTTATTAAGGCAGAAACGTGAGAGTGATCTGATTTCTCTGTGAATTTGGAGTCAGCAAAGGGACTCACGGGACAGTCCCACCCCCTCTACTCCAGGATCATGCCACCCTGGGAAAGCCACTCAAGCGTCCCCATCTGGGGTGGAACCTGACTCTGGGGTCCTCTTTCCCAGGATCCAGATGTCTCCCCATCTGGGCGGGATGTACCTTCCCAAAGGGCATGGTGTAATACTCCACATGCTTGTCATTAATCTTCAGAGGTTCCTTGCTGTCATCGGCCACGATCACTATCAAGTCTGGGTAGTACTCACGAATGCTCCGTAGCATGGTCATGAACTTGTGGGGACGGAGGAAGGTTTTGGTGGCAATGGTCACCAGGTCTCTGAGCTTCCTCTCTGGGCAAGAAAGCATTGATGTCAGAACTCTGCCTTTTGGGAAGCCTCACTGATTTGACTTGCACTGTTCTGGTGATTTCTTTATGCTGCAACCTCTCAGTGTGGGCCTCGTGCCCACCGCACTTAGTAAGAGTTTGTTAGTTGGAATAGAAAATAAATATATTTACAACATAGCCAGCTTGTTGAAATTTTATCCGTCTTCTAGAATTTCTTTCCCTGGTTCTGTTGGCCCGACTATGCCATCTCCTACTGTCTGTATGAATGCTTGGTCTTACCAGCACTTGGCTTGCATGCTGCTGTCATGTTAATCCTAGGAATTGAGATGCACAGAGCTCTGCCCATCAAGGGGTTCAAGATGGAGGGAAATGGGGCAGGGCCAGGGAGTGGAGAAAGGTCTAAAGGACTTGAGACCTGACCCTGTCATCAGCTGCACTCCTAGAGAGAAACACACTTGGTCTCTCTCCTCAGGAAGACATCAGTGGTCTGTAGCTCTCCTTGGAGAGTGGAAGGTCTGGACCAGATAGTCCAGCTTAAGGCGTGTGATACCACAAAACCTTGGAAAAGGAACAGCTTTTCTGCGGAAAAGGCCTCATGATGAATCACCTGGAGCTGTGGTGTGTTTCTGGGATTCAGTCATCAAACGTGGAGCCACGTCAGCAGACTGAGCCTGTGGGATGTCTAGGTAGGGTGGGGTGGGCTCTGTTGCAGTTAATGCATGCTGAAAGCCACAACCCGACCCGTGCCTTATGGATGAGTGCTCCAGAACCCCACTGCAGAGCCCCTTCTCAGAATGACAGAAGTCAGAAGTCTTTCCAGAATCCTCTTTTTTAATACCTGTTGCACCATTACACCAGCCCCCCCTGGGTCTGAGGGCATGAGGGAAAAGTGATCAGTGGGAAGAGTCAAGGAAATTGTGTTCAAGGGCATGCCAAGTGAATCATGTCCTCCCTTTTCTTGGGCCACATGCCGAGTTTGGTTCTTTTGTTATAGTAAAGAGAGAACCAGGGGCAGGAATTTCTAGAGGGTGTGGTCAAGATAGGGGGTTCCTGGCTAAGTTGGTGGTGTAGCTTTCTGTTTGAGAGTCCTTATTTTTTCCAAAGATATAGCAATGATAAAAATACAAAGATATAACTATGCTCAAAAATATACATTACTTCTAAGGAACAGAAATAAAAAGCAGTGATCAGAGCTGGGACCTGCCACATTCTGGGATCAGAAGTAGCAGAGGAGGCTGATTCTGAGGGGTAAAGGAATTAAGGTGTCTCACGGGATATGTGGGTCCAGAGCCAGGCTTTTTGCTAGAAGCCATGGACAAGAGCTAGGTTGCACACCCTCTATCCCTCATCACTACCTGCCAGGCAAGGAACACCAGGACAGCCACCACCCCTGCCCACACCTCTGGATGCAAACAGAAATGACACCGCCTCACAGTCATGACCTGTGCCAAGCCACCCTCAGGCCCAGCAACTGGTTCTTTAATAACTCCAATATCACTGTGTGGCAGGAAGCCCGGGACTCCAGTATAAAATAGTAGACCAGAAAGCTGGGCAGACACGGAGTAGATCCAACACTAAAGCTATGAGATGGGAAGGAGTCAGGAGAGAGAAGGGAGAGAGGAAAAAATAAGCAAGCGAAACCTCCTGCTCAAGATAAGCTCACCAACAAAAATTGCAGAACACTTAAAGAGAATTAGTATGAACGACAGCCGACGAATCTACCAAATCTATCGTGTACAGGTGAACCCATTCCAGATAGACCGAAAATAATAGAGAAATCTGAAAATGATTTAAAATGAGAATGTTCAAGCAATGGCATACATACATTTTTTTCCCCTTTTTGTTTTTACGGAAACAATAGATTACTCTTCCCTCTCTTCTGTACCTGCTTATAACTCGGAAAGCATTTTGTAGCAGTATTAAAAAAATCCCTCCTCCTGTGTTTCCCCTTCCTCCTTCTGAATGCCACTGCATGGAATTTCATTATATGGATGGACCACACTTGATCTCATCAGTGCATCCCACCTGGAAGGTTTTTGTCTTCGCAAACAATGCTGCAGTAAAGAACCCCGAACAAACATCATTTCACACAGATATAAGTATCTGTACGATAATTTCTAGAAGTGCAACTGGTGGGCCGAAGGGAATGCACATCCCAAATGTTGATAGGTATTGCCAAATTGCCTCCAGAAAGGCTGTGCCAGTTTACATTTCCCACCAGGAGTTTATAAGAATTCCTGCCCCCCACTCTTCATCCAATACTTTCTGATATGAATGAATTTTTCATTTGCACTTTTTTTTAGTATGAGACTGAGCATATATTTTAATGGCTAAAAGTATTGTTGAATTTAATCTGTTGCCAACTGTGCGTTTTTCCATTGGCTTATTAGGTATTTGGTTTTTTGTTTTGTTTTGTTTAGGTGTTTAAAAAAAAATTGCCCACCTGGGTGGCTGAGATGGTTAAGTGTCTGCCTTCAGCTCAGGTTATGATCCCAGGGTCCTGGGATCGAGTCCCACATCGGGCTCCTTGCTCAGCAGGGAGCCTGCTTCTCCCTCTGCCTGCCCCTCCCCCCTGCTTGTGCTCTCTCTCTCTCTCTCACTCTTCTCTGGCAAATAAATAAATAAAACCTTTAAAAACACTTACTTATGGGGAGGGGGGTGGGGGGATGGTTTGGCCTGGTGATGGGTACTAAAGAGGGCACATTCTGCGTGGAGCACTGGGTGTTATGCACAAACAATGAATCATGGAACACTACATCAAAAACTAATGATGTAATGTATGGTGATTAACATAACAATAAAAAATTATTAAAAAAATAAAAACACTTACTTATTTCAGTAATCTCTACACTCAAGGTGGGGCTTAAACTCCTGACAGCTCAGTCATTAAGCGTCTGCCTTCGGCTCAGGTCATGATCCCAGGGTCCTGGGATCGAGCCCCACATCGGGCTCCCTGCTCCGCAGGAAGCCTGCTTCTCCCTCTCCCACTCCCCCTGCTTGTGTTCCCTCTCTCGCTGTGTCTCTCTCTGTCAAATAAATAAATAAAATCTTAAAAAAACACAACAACTCCTGACCCCCAGATCAAGAGGTGCATGCTCCACTGACTGAGCCAGCCTGGCATGGAGGCCGACCTATTAGGTGTTCTTATGGATTCACAGGCACTTTCAAGTAAAAGTACACGTTTGACTTTAGGGTGTGCTGAGATATTTTTTCCCCCAATTTGTCCTTTGTCATTTGTCTTTCCTTTTGGTGGTTTTCTGCCCTAAAAACATTTAAAAATTTTATGTATTTTATGTGTGTAGTCTTTTCTTTCTGGTCTTTGTGTTTTGTGTCATATTTAGAAAGGTCTTATACTCTAAGATTATGTTTTGAACTCCATGGGTTTTGTTCTAGCACCTAAAAATATGAGATATTTGATCAATTTGGAATTTATCTTGGTATGAGCTGTAAGATAGATTCAACTTTTTATCTTCCTTTATCAACACAGTTGTCCCATGTGATTTCTTGGATCATCCATCTCTTCACTCTTTAATTTGGAAAGCTACCTTGACCGCATGGTAAAGCTCCAACATATCTGTCTCTGGGTTTCCAATTCGACTCCATTGATATATCTAGCCATGGTCCAATACCACTCTGTTTTTATTACTATTACTTATTAAGATGTCATAATTGTTTTTTTTCCACAATAAGCATAACCACATAATAAGTTAAATACAATTAAGCAATATTAGGAGAATATTAGAATTTTCTTTCTTGTTTGTCAGGAATCATATCAGAGCAATTATTTCCATCAATTCTCCTCCTGCGCCTCAGAGCTGGTCCCTTCCGAGTTTCACCAACTAGCTACAAGATCCCACCCTGGAGCCCCAGGAGCAAGGGCCTTACCTGGTCCAGGGTCATATAACTTAGGGATGACAGGATAGCAGATGGTCACTGGAAACTTGACCACCGAGGACTTGGACTCCAGACTCACTGGAGGGAGAAATAAGGTCAAGGTGGGCAGCACGGAGTCTAGGTCACTCTCCACACTGCCCCCAAGAAAGCCGATTTGCAGCAGGGGTAAAGGCTCAGTAGAGAATGTCCTGCCTGGGAGGAGACCCCACAGAGTTGACAGCATTCTGCCTCCTGACTTGCTGTGTGTCTCTGGGGTAACTGGCTGAATGCCTCCTTCCTTTTTTTTTTTTTTTTTTAATTTAAGGAATCTCCATGCCCAACACAGGGCTTGAACTTAGGACTCTGAGATCATGAGTCACATGCTCCACCGATGAGCCAACCAGGCGCCCCCTGCTGAATGTCCCTTAACTCGCATTTCTTCCACTGTGAGAGTCTGGTGGGGTGGAATGGGTTTGGAATCATAGGGTCTGGATTAAGTTTGACTTTACTATTTATTACCTGAACTACCTTGGGTAAATTAGCGCTCGTTTCAGCAGCACAAATACTCAAATTGGAAAGATACAGAGAAGATCAGCATGGCCCCTGCACAGGGACTACATGCAAATTCGAAACACCTTGGGTAAATCACTCTCCTCCAGCTACAAAACCAGGATAACACCACCTGCCCAGTTTTATCTCACAGGGTCATTTGGTGAAAGGAAATGTTTGGGAATCTGAGAGTAGAGAGAGCACTCTCTTTAGTTTGTGGTCATGCATAATCTATCCTGTGTTTCATTTTTCTGTTGGTGTCCTGGGAATGGATCCTGGGTAGCTAGTCAAAAGAGAAAAGAGTGACTTTAATTCCCCCACATCTCTCTTTCCCTGAAGGTGCCCAGGACAAGATACTGATGCACAGAATGGGTTCCTCCTCTCTCGCAGCTGAAGGCTTCAGCTCCGAGAGCTACAGATAATGGGGAACAGAGCCGGGTGGTTTCCAGGTGCATAGCATGAATGATCTGCCCTCACAGAGAGATGCATGTTCTTTCCTTCAAGTCACACCATGGGGTCAGTGGCAACATGGGGGTAATGTAGGGGACAGTAATTGAGAAGTTAGAGGTCTAGGGTTAGAAACAAGAGCAAGGGAAGCATCCTAAATGCTGGCAGCCTTCCTGGAGGAGGAAGACTTTGAGAGGGCCCGGTAGTGTTTTCCCACTCCCTAAGCGTTTTGCCATCCAAGGACAAGTTCTCACCGAAATCCACCTTGTGGTGCAGGTACACCGTGCTGGTGTATGTCAGGTGCTGGAGGATGAAATTCAAAAGCTTCCGGTCACTGGTCGAAATGGTCAGCTGCTTCTGGCCTCTGCCCTGCACCACACTGTCTGGGATGTCAGCGAGGGTATTCAGTGTCCCCAGAGAAGCTGTCAGGGTGACCTAAGGTGGGTGAGGTAGAAAGACGCTAAATGCAAGGGAAAGCACATGCCCCGGACCGGCCAGCAGGGGGCAGAGCGCGTGAGGCTGAGAGGAGGCGCCGCCGGATGTACCTGGAAGTTGGGGTCTGGCTCCAAAGCCGTTCGCTGCTCTATCCCCGGCGAAGTAGAATCGAGTCCTGGGGACTCGTGTGTTCAAGGGCCATTGCTCTCCTAGGTCTTGGCTTACAGGATCCCATTCTAGATTTCGTCTCACTCCCTCTGACCGCCCCCTTTTGATTTCCAACTGCCTCCGACCGCCTCCGCCTCCGCCTCCGTCTGACCTCCCAGTGGAGTTTTTCCGGGTTAGTTCCGCGCCCTTTTCTCTGACTATTCACCGTCACACTAAAGGAAGCGGCTTTAAATACCATTCAGATGCTAATGGATTAAAAATTTGTGTCTCTAGCTCCCCGTCTTTCTGAGACCCAGTTGCCTGGCTGGTTGCTCTGCTAGGAAGTGCCACAGGCAACCGAAATCTTTAGAACTGCTGATTTTTCTCTATAAACTTGTTTGCCACTCTCTCCCTGGTTCCCCCTGCCTCGTGAATGGCACCTTCATCCATTCAACTGTTGAAGTCCCTAAAGGAGGTCATTCCTGTTCTGAGGGAGTCTTGTTGGGTCTACCTTCAACATGGAGCTAGAACTGGTGGTCCCCTTCTCTCCATCCCATTGCTACTCCCTAAAGCAACTCTCCTCTCCTGCCTTCTCGTCCTCTGGGCAGACGGGTATTTTTATGAAAAGTACACTGGGTTATGTCACGCCTGCTGAGAACACTTTGGTCAGTCAACAGGTGTTTTCTGAGATCCAAATTATAGGTCCTGGGAAAAGAGTAGTGAATACAACCAACTCCCCACCTTCAAGAGGCTTATATTCTAGTCGGGGAGAATGGCGGTAAGCATATCATGGTGCATATAAAATAATTCAGCTACAGGAAAGCACCACGAAGAGACTAACCCAGAGCACCTGGCAAGTGGCAGAGGTGGGGGAGGGAGGGGTGCTTTGCTGGGAGTGGGGGAGGGCAGAGCAGACTGTTGAGGATAGAGTACTCTGTTGTGCAGATTTGCTCACTCATCACCCAGTCCAACATCTGGCATGCAGAGTGGGAAAACTAAAACTACATTTCCCAGACTCCTTTTTAGATTAGGGTTCTGGATGCAGTTTGCCTCCCAGCCATCGCTCTATGGGCACAAGGGCTGGATTTGGAGCTACATTAAGCGGGGAACAAAAGGCAGGGCACGGAACCCCAGTCTTGCTGGCTGGCGCTAACCCTGGTGGAGGCAACATGCACCGGCAACATGCAATTCCTCTTGCAGCAAAACCAGCAGCATCTGTGCTGGCCCGGGTCTCCGGAAGTCCTTGGAACTCCAGCCACTGAATGGCTGGAAAAATCATGCCTTCTGGAGGCATCCTACCCCCTCTCCCCACCTTGGACTCGTGTCAGATATTTAATCTAGATGAGCACTCTGTCAAAATCCGAGACCCATGACCACTGGGCATGACCAGCCATCATTGGGCAGTGATGCCCAGTGCAAAAAGGGGCTGGGAAGGGGACTTGCCTCATAGATGGGGGCCTCTGGTCCTTCAAACTGGAGACCTGGGGGACAGAAAAAAAGATAAAAAATACCATTTGAGAGGATGCCAAGGGCTCCCTGATGCTCGCTACCTTCCTGATGACTTCTACACATCCTTCCAGAATCCTTTCCGGGGTCACCTTTTATTTTATTTATTTTATTTTATTCACCTTTTATCCAGGGTGTTTGCTGACCACTCCCCTCTTCCTGGGGTCCTGTTACGGGGTGTCCCATGGTCCTTCTCAAATTCTAGTGCATCTAAAGCCTCTGATGCCCACCCTCAGCATTGGACAGGTTCTGTGAATTAATCCAGCCCCTTTCAGGATCTCTGTTACTGAAGGGAAAGCAGCAGTGGAGAAGCAATGAATCGTCTTTATATGAGGTCCCTAGAATAGTCAAATTCGTAGAGATGAGACAAGACATTCTACTGAATGGTGGTTGCCACAGGTGGGGGCTGGGGTGGGGGGAAGGGAGTCAATGTTAAATGGGTACAGAGTTTTCAATTGGGGAAGATTATAAAGGTCTGGAGCCAGATGATGGTCACAGTTGCAGAACAATGAGAATATACTTAATGCCACAAAACCGTGTGCTTAAAAATGATTAACATTGTAAATGTTATGTTATGCATATTTTACAATAAAAAAGGAATCATCCAAAATGGCAAATCACCTTTTTAAATGACTATTCAAAAATACTAGCAATTCCTCCAAATGTATTTATTTTAGAATCTATCTCTGTTCTCATAGTATGACTAATTCAAGTTCTAATTCAAATATAGCCTCCCTATGGGGTCTTAGATAACTTAAGTCATCTGTGAAATTCGCAAAATAACATTTACCTTACAGGGAGGTGATGCTGAACTAGAGAAGTGTGTAGAAATCCCTTGTGGAGGGGGGCGTTTAACCAACATAAATGTTCTTTTCAATATACTCTCCCAGGAGATGGGCTCATTTTTGCCTGGGCTCATGATGCTGGAGGACACCAAAAAGCCAATCATGTCCTACGATTCCCTGAGGCACACAGATTTCTGTCCTCTTCTGTGTTATCTCAGATCTCCAGGGAGGTCACATGGGCTAAGGGCGGTTCCCAGTGGTGGAAACACTGAGACTAACCAGTAAGTGAAATCATGTCAAGCTTCCCGCATTGTGCTGAGTACACAGCAGGTACTCAATGAATGACTGTTTGCTTCCACTCCCCCATTTTGCTTAAAGAAGGGTTAAGAAAGTTGCCTGGCTCCTCTCCACATGGAGATGTACCTACCTGGGATGGGAACTGTGTGCAGGGGCATCACCTCTACCCCATGGACGGGGTACCCAAAAGGGAGGTTGGGCTGGGCCAGCAGCGGCGGTGGACGGGGCAACCCTTCTCTGCAGGAAACAGAACCAGAACCGTTAGCAGCTGCTCTCACGCGCCCTCCTGGTTAGTTCCGAAAGTGGTACCTGTGCCCGGAGCTCCTTGCTGCCAATGGGGAGAAATCGAAAGTAGATTGTCCCGTTCACCCCTCCATTCCCTCCCTCCTTTATTCACCCCTCCATTCCCCTCCCTCCAGCCTTGAATTTCGCAAAGGAATTGAGGCAGTTTACAACAAAGCACATACAAAATTAAAAACACAACCTGGGAGAAAGAAGAAACAAAATAACAAGACCATCTGGGTGAACCCAGAGGCAGCAGCCAAATGCCAGGGTCACAAGTGAACTTCCTGGTAGTCAGGGTATAAAGCGATGGACAGTCAGTACTCTGGTCTTATTATCAACAGGACAAAGCAACAACTTCTGAGGCAAATAAACCTTTTCCTGGCACTGAACTCAAAAAGAAAATATATCACAAGAAATGTGATTTGTTGCCTCGGTATTTTCAGAGCAAACACGGTGATGACTTTCGTATGATTTTGTTGTTATAACAACCTCAGTCAAGGGCAAGCACATAACAAGCCAGCGAGATGGATTCTTTGGGGGACTATGGTAATATGGTTGAAATGCAGCCTTTGGAGATCCAGTGTAGCCAAGGGTATCATTTAGATCACCTGGAAGAAAAATTAGACTACTATAGTGAATATTTATGAGAATACGAAAGAGACAAAATTTAAAAGTGGGAAATGATGTAAATAGGCAATTAAGAGGAAGTACAAATGGCTAATGCATAAATGAAGCGTGCTCAGTTTCAAAATTAACCAGGGAAATGCAACTTTAAAAACAATGAACTGGAGGCCCTGGCTGGCTCAGTTCATAGAGCCTGTGACTCTTGATCTCAGGGTTGTAAGTTCAAGCCCCACGTTGGGTGTAGAGATTGCTTAATATAAAGTCAAATCTTAAAAAAAAAAAACGAACAAGGAAATACCTTTTTCATTAATGTTTCAAAATGTAATGATAAGGAGTACTGGTTAGGTAGGGGGTATCTAAGGTACTACCCTTACGCACTCGTCACGAAAGTGTGAATTAATATAGGTGCTCTTGAATGCAATTTGTCAGTATTTATTAAAAGTAGAAATAAGCATATCCCATGAGTGAGCAATTCAGATGCTAGTTAAGGGGAGAAACACCTCCCTGTGTAAACAGCGACATGCATAAGGAGGTTCATTTCAGCACTGTTTGAAATGAACATCGCATAAGCATCTTAACAAAATAAGGAAAGAATGTAAATATAATGTAAGATTATTATTATAAATTATGTAAATGTAATAATGAAAATTTCCCTCAAATCTGAATATCATTCAATAGGATAATGGCTTAATAAAATTCAGTGTATTCATATTCATAGCTAAATGGCATTTAGAAGGGAAGAACTAGATATATAGAGAGCTCTTAAAAATGTGCTTAATGAGGGATTCCTAGGTGGCTCAGTCAGTTAAGCCTCCAGCTCTTGGTTTTGGCTCAGGTCATGATCTCAGGGTTGTGAGTTTGAGCCCCACGTCAGGCTCCAAGCAGCCCACTTAAGATTCTCTCTCTCTCTCCCCCTTGGCCCCCTCTCCTTCTGCCTCCTGCCTGTGCTCAAGCACTCTCTCTCTAAAACAAAAACAAAAACAAACTTAAAAAAACATACTGAATGAAAAAAGCGATTTTTCTAGAGTGATTTGTTCTTATAGTATCAATTACATTAAAAACATACACACAGTTGGGTGAAACAGGTGAAGGGGATGAAGCACTGAATCATGTATAGTATTGTTGAATCACTATATTGTACGCCTGAAACTAATATAACACTGTGTGTTAACTACACTGGAATTAAAATAAAATTTATTTTTTTTAAAGATTTTATTTATTTATTTGAGAGAGAGAGAATGAGAGATAGAGAGCACAAGAGGGAAGAGGGTCAGAGGGAGAAGCAGACTCCCCGCTGAGCAGGGAGCCCGAGGCGGGACTCGATCCCGGGACTCCAGGATCATGACCTGAGCCGAAGGCCGTCGCTTAACCAACTGAGCCACCCAGGTGCCCCATGTACTCAACTTTTTAAGTGAGGTATAATATGGAGCTAATCAGACTCCAATGAACCAGAGATTTTACCCAATATCAAGCTCCACTCATGATTTCAAGGATACAGACAATTATGTGGCAGAGACAGAGCACCCAGAGGTCCCGGCCACGCCTTCCCACATCAGATGCGTGCTCTCTGGCAGAGGATAATAGGCGTGATCTCCAAATGGGGTTTTGTCGGATTCCCTCACACAGCGGAGAGCATGTAAGTTATGAATCATCTCCATTTTATACCCACAGAGAGTAGTCCAGCTCCGGTGACACTTGCCAGGGGCTGAAGATTCTGGGTTATTTATTCTATGTGATCCCTTTGGCCCTGTGCTAAAGTGGGCACAAAGACACCAAGAAAATCCCATTCCTGCAGGGGGAGAACCCAGACTGAGACACCAATAACTAGAATACTAGGTCACCTGTTCAGTAACAGGAATGAGGCCAGCTCTGAATGCTATCTTCCGGAACATTCCTTTCGCAATTCTCAGAATTGGAAACTGCTCTCGCTCCTAAGGCCTACCACAGCACTCCCCCTGACTAGCATCGTAACACTGAACTCCTGAGTTCCACACCGTTTGCTGAACACACCCGGTGGGCCACAGAGCACCCACGGTCATTCCACGCTGAGCTGGGGCTCTGTGCGTGATTATGGCAGGGGCAGAGACGGTGAGGTGGCGGGTGGAAGGGACGCGGAGAGGGCACGCTGACTGTATCCTCTCTGGTCTGCTGTGAGTTCCCTGGGAGCAGGATCTAGGTCAGCTCTGTCTTTGTACCTCACTGAGCGCCTTGCTCAGAGCAGTCAGGGTGTTTCCTGGGCTAACAGAGAAAGAGTTGAGGCACGGGTGGGAGCTGAGCCTCTTCTTCCCTGGCTACGGCCATGACGACAGGACACCTGGGTCACGTCACTGATCAGTACTGGGCTCTGTTTGTTCTTGTACCGGCGTTGCCGGCTCTGATCCCAGCAGAGCCGGGCATTTCCCCAGGTGGAGGAGGGGCAGGTGAGGACACGGCCAGCTCCTAGCCTTCCCTGTTTGGAGTCAGTTCCTTCTTATAATTAATTCCTCTGCCCAGCTCCCTCGGGACCAGCACCCCCTCCTGGGAGCCCCCTGCCTCACATTCTCCGAGCCCTTTCAGTTCCCCCATCTCACTCTCTCCAGTGTCTTCAAGGCTCCCTGCCTCTTGTCTCTGTCCGCGCCACGCACGTCCTGCAGCGTGCACACCTGAGGTGTTCCTTGCCGGAAACAGCCCCACACTGCCCAGCACAGAGACGGAAGCCATCATCCTGCAGGAATCTGCCCCTCTGTTTCCCCTCACACCATCCACGTATTCCAGAGATGCTGCTTGAGCCCTCCTCTGTGTCAGGCGCCTCAAGTCCCCGACTAGCCGGACCTCCCAGGCAGTGGCCCGGAGAGACCGGGAGACACAGCGGGAACCACACTGGCAAGAGGCTATCGGACGGTGGTACTGGGGCAGGGCCAGGCACGGCTTCTGCTTGCTGTGAGAGCTTACCACATCAACCTATAGTTGTTTCTATAGTTTTTTTTTTTTTAATGTCTACTGTCCTCTACATTCATCGATGTTACAAATGTGATACAGCTTTAAGCCCTTCCATGTGTCAATTCATTACATGTCACAACGACTCTAGGTACGATTACTATCCCCATTTTACAGAAGAGGGTAGGCAGCTTGCCCAAGGTCATCTGGCCGGGATGTGGAGGATGAAGGACCCCAGTGCAGCCCGTCGACCTCCCTCGGCAGCACCCTTAACTACAGAGCCCTATTGCTCCTCACACAGCTGGGTGGGGCCAAGGTTCAAATCCATGCCAGAATCATGTGTCTATCCCACTGGTTCTTTGACTTCCAGTGCTGCCTCCTGTTGGTGCCCCCATCTCTCTTCTGGGGAGTCATCCATTTGTATGTAGTTGGGGGTGGGGAGTGGTAGCTGACTCCCCAGATCGACCCTGGAGGGACCCGACTCGCCCTTTCCCTTCCTTGATTCATGACTCAGGCTCAGCCAACGGAGCACCTGAGGACCGTTCCTCCCAGAGGTACAGATACCACTGCTCCAGCAGTAGAAGGAACGTTTACCTTCCGCCTAACTACACAAAAAAGCCTGCCTCCCCTATACCTTCCCTACTATGTATTCTCCACTGAAAAGCCAGAGTGACATTTTACAAGAGTTTCTCAGATAAGAACTTGCCACTTTTAAAAACCATTCAATTCTTGGGGCGCTTGGCTGGCTCAGTTGATTGGGCGTCCAACTCTTTATTTTTGCTCAGGTCATGATCTCAGGGTTGTGAGATGGGCCCCGGGTTGGGCTCTGCATTCAGCATGGAGTCTGCTTGACATTCTCTCTCTCCCTCTCCCTCTGCCCCTCCCCCCACTCATGCTCTCTCTAAATAAATAAATAAATAAATAAATAAAATCTTTAAAAAAACCCAACGGTTCAAATTCTTTGCATTACTCAGAAAGCAAAATGCACGCTCCACCTCCCGGCTTACAATGGCCATCATGACTGACCTCTCTCTGGGCTCATATTCCACCAGCCCTCCCCTGAGTTACTAGAGCTCCAACAGCCACCACCTGCTTGCTTGTCATTCAGCCATCACGAAAGCCCCCTGCCATGCCTGAGGCTCTGGGCCCTGGATTAACTCTTCCTTCTGAGATGCTCCTTTACAGGAGATGGTGGGGACTCCTGCTTGATATACAAATCAGAGTTCAAGGTCACCTTCCTTCATCATCCCATTAAATTTTATGCCACCAAGTAACATTCTACCACACTATTTTAATTTATTCCTCCATAGAGCACTTATAACCATCTAATATTTAGGTGATTTATCTATCTCTTAATGAATTATGTATCTCCTAGAAGAACTATAAGAGCAATAATATTAATAGTAAACCACAGCAATAGCAGTAGGTGATATTTTTGTAGTGCTTGTATATGTCAGGCCCTTCATGAGTTACTAACTCTTTGTATGTTAATACAACGCATATTACAGAGCCTTCATAAGTCTATGAAAGAAGTATCTTTATTATAATTTTTCATATGAAGATACTTAAGTGCTGGGAGATCAAGTAACTTGCCATCCAGCCTATTTTAGAGTTCAAGTCCCTAATCATGGTGCTCTTATTTGTATTTTTTATTATAGCATGCCTTTTGCTATAACTCATAAATGATTGCTACAAGAAAGGAAGAAAGGAAGGAGGGAGGGAGGGAGGGTAGTCCTGTCCAGCCCTTCTGTGCTCCCTTGGTTCTTGATTTCTTAGCCTGGTCATCCTATCACCTATGGTTTTGAGGAGGTTCCAACATCCTTCCCACAAATACCCTTTTGATATAAGCCCATCAGAATCAATCACTGCTCTTTTCACAATCCTGGCCCATACACCCCAAGTGTGTAATTCTGGGCCCTGCACATAGCAGGGGGAAGTATGTTCTCAGCATATAAATGAATTAGAGATGCACCTTGCTGTAAAGTCACCTGCTGTGAAGGCCTGGGTGCCTGGAGGCTGTACCACCAACACCACACGGCTGTCCCAGACTATTTTCATTCCTTTGCTCTGTTCTTACTCTGAAATGCTCTAGACACGCAAAGTTTGACAAATCTTCATTTATGGGTTGTTTTCCTCCATTTTCTCTCCTTGCTTTATTCCTAACAGTTCCCCCTCAGGGACTCCTGCAAGAGAGGAGTTCCTCCCTGTTTTCTTGGGACCCACACCCTCAAGACACCGTAGAGAGAGCTTTTGCTCTACCCCAGGATCCAAGAGCCCTCACGGTCTGCATTACCTCCTCTGAAAGTGTTCAAATTCAGCCTGTCTCCTCGCTTTCACCGCAGGGAGCTCACTCAGGTCATAGGCATCCTGAAAGTTATAGCTTTCCTGCCATGTGGTAGCTTCGCATTTGCACTGGTTTTTCGGGAACAGTCTAAAACCAGAAAAGAACTGTGAGCAAGGAGTGGGTGGGTGGGCTGGTAGGTGAGAGAAAACCCGGGGTCTAATTGGTGTGTGGTTCACCCTGAGCATCTCCTTTCCATATACCCACCTGTCCTACTTGGGAGGAGATTCTGGAATCCCAGCAGCGGCCCCTCCCAGAGATACAGGGGAGGGGAAGAAAGGGGAGGGGGAAGGGGAAGAAGGCCCCCCTCTCTGGAATTATCTCCCGCACCAAATGTCTTTAAACTTGAGTCATGTGAGGGGTGCCGGGGTGGCTCAGCCGTTAGGCGTCTGCCTTCGGCTCAGGTCATGGTCCCAGGGTCCTGGGATCGAGAGCCCCGCATCGGGCTCCCTGCTCGGCGGGAAGCCTGCTTCTCCCTCTCCCACTCCCCCTGCTTGGGTTCCCTCTCTCACTGTGTCTCTCTCTGTCAAATAAATAAATAAAATCTTTAAAAAATAATAACAAACTTGAGTCACGTGAATGCCAGTGGCATCTGGGCCCCACCAGAAGAGGAGGCCAGCAGGACAGAAAGGCAGCATCTTTCTTGCGATTTAGCCAAAGAGGCCCTCCAGAGTTTTCAGGGACCTTGCTGGGTGCTGTAGAGAGCACACTGCACCCTGCAGAACAAATCTGTTCCAGGTCCCACAGTTTGGATCACTTGAACAACAAGCACAGGTTCGGGAAAGCAGGGAACTGGCTATAAAATGGGCACAGTAAACCGTAGGGGGAGCAAGGGACCTTGGACCCTTGCTGGGGTCCACACTGGACCAACGTGGAATAACTTGACTCTCACCGGATTCCATCATAGGTAAACAGGTTCTTGAGACGTTCCTCGGGTAGGAGCTTCAGCATCTGGTCAGCCAGAGCAGAATGAGGGCGCTCTGGCATGGGGCTACTGAACTCCGCACTTCTGAACATAAATACAACAGTGCCAAGTCCTAAGAGGAAAACTGAGATCATGAGGAGCCGCAGAAACTCGGACCTGTTGGAACACGAAAGAACAAATTCCATTAACATCCTTTTTCTTGATTACATAATAAATGACTCAATTGTGTAATATACATGGGAATAATAACTTGAAGAAAAATATAAGTGAAATGGTGTCTGATTTTATTTTTATTTATTTATTTTTTTGGGGGGGTGTCTGATTTTAAAAAAAGAGTAAAGAATCAAGCTGCAACAAAGAGACTTAGAAAAATCACAAAGCAAAGAATGGGCAAAAACATCCCAAGGGGGACAAAAAAGAACATAGCAATATTTATGTCAGCATAGTTGAATTCAAGGCCAAAAACTGTATGAAATAGGACAAAAAAGATCACTTGCAATGACCAAATACGTGAACCACAAAACAGATGTAGTGGTCATGAACTTTATCCACTAAATAATAGCATTAAAGTACAGAAAGCAGGGCACTTGAGTGGCTGAGTCGGTTAAGCATCTGACTCTTTTTTTTTTTTTAAAGATTTTATTTATTTATTTGAGAGAGAGAGAACGAGAGATAGAGAGCACGAGAGGGAAGAGGGTCAGAGGGAGAAGCAGACTCTCCGCTGAGCGGGGAGCCCGATGTGGGACTCGATCCCGGGACTCCAGGATCATGACCTGAGCTGAAGGCAGTCGCTCAACCAACTGAGCCACCCAGGCGCCCAAGCATCTGACTTTTGATCTCAGCTCAGGTCTTGATCTCAATGAGTTCAAGCCCCATGTTGGGCTCCACGCTGGGTGTGGAGCCTACTTAAAAAAAAAAAAAAAGTACAGAGAGCAAAAAAAGAAAACGGCAGAAGGATTACAAATACAAAGAGAGTCATAGATTCCAACATTCTTACATATAACACCTAACACTCTCACAACTCAGTGCTTCACAAATCAAGTCTCAAAAATATATAAATGATATAATTCATATTCTGTTAAAGAGCTCTTAGAACACTTACAAAAATTGGCCACGCAAAGAAAACTGTGATCAAGTAGAAATAGTTCAGATCATGTACTCTGATAGTGCAATCAAAATATAACCTAATGAAAAGCCCCCTTCCCCAACAGCATGGAAATTTTAGGAAAGCTTTCCAAAGCAACCGTCAAATCAAGGACAGCAGAACAAGAATATAAATATGATAAAGACAGTACATTCCAGAACTATGTAACACACTCAAACGGTCCTGAGAGAAAAAAAAATTGAAGGTTTAAATACCAATTTCTAACTACAAGACATAAAATTAATAAATTATGCAATCAAATAAGCTTGAAAAAAGGACAAAGAAAAGCAGAAAGAGGAACTTAACAATGCAAGGAGAAAGTGGTGAATTAGAGAAACCTAAAATGGAATAATTGCTAAAGCTAAGCCCTGGGTAGACAGCTTTTGTGATATCTGCCAGCTTATAACCTCTCTTCTGTAAGACTTTTCTCCTGACTCCCACCGGTGACACCTAAGATCCCAGCTCCGTGCTACATGATACTCCCCTGGCAATGGTGGATTGGACCAAGGGTGAACACCTTGTCTGAAGTGGGCCAGTCAACCACAATTTCTTCCCCGGTAATTAGAAATGAGATCAGGTTATCCTGGTCCCCTGAACCAAGAAGAGAAGGGGGAATAGAAAGTGAGAGACAAAAAGCGAAACCTGGATCTTGAACACCCCGATGAAAGGGATGACTTTCTAGAAAAACGCAAATGACCTCAACAGACCTGTGAAAGTCTTTGAGGAAATTGCAAAAGCCTATCTACTCTCCCTTTCGACAAAGTCTCAGATCTATGTTTCAAAAGTAAACAATTCTCGTTTATAAAAAAAAAAACTTTAGGGGCACCTGGGTGGCTCAGTCGTTGAGCATCTGCCTTCAGCTCAGGTCATGATCCCAGGGTCCTGGGATCGAGCCCCACATCGGGCTCCCTGCTCAGCGGGAAGCCTGCTTCTCCCTCTCCCACTCCCCCTGCTTGTGTTCCCTCTCTTGCTGTGTCTGTCAAATAAATAAATAAAATCTTAAAAAAAAAAAGCTTTACAGTAGTACAAACATAAGTACTTATGAATAGTGATATAAATATGCTAAATACGTAATAGTAACTAGAATGCAATGGTATGTTACATGAACGATTCATCATTAACAAATGGAGTTCTTTCTAAGAGTGCAAAGATGATTCATTATTATGGATAATATTATGCATAATATTATTACACAATATTAATAAATTTCACTAGGTGAAAATTCAGAATACTATTTTATTGACAGATGATCTTAGAAGCATTTAATAAAATCTGACATCTATTCTTCATTTGTTAAACATCCCTCATTTAAGAAAGGACCCAGAAGAAATGACACCACACTAATAATCACAGGTACATCTAACACCTAACACCTGCTTCTTGGTCTCTGAATATTCTTCCCCTCTAAAGGAAACTAGAGTGCCTTGGAGAACTGGCCAATTCTCAGTTTGGGGTAAGGGAAATGTAAAGTGAGTCTAGGACATCCCGTAGTGCCAGAAAGGACAGGAGCTATCTGCGCTCAGTGCAGGGTCTGCTTGGGATTCTCTCTCCCTCTCCCTCTGCCCCTCCCACTTGTTCTCTTTCTCTAAAATAAATGAACCTTTAAAAAAAATCCATGAGTCTCATGATACTTCAAGAAAAAAGTGCACTTTTTAAAAGATTTTTACTTATTTATTTGAGGGGGGAGGGGCAGAGGGAGAGAATCTCAAGCAGAATCCCTGCCGAGCGCAGAGCCTGACACAGGGCTCTATCTCACCACCTTGAGATCATGACCTGAACCAAAACCAAGAGTCCGACACTTAACCAACTGAGCCACTCAGGTGCCCAAGAGGAGCATTTTTAACTAACTTTTTAATTATAGAAAAATTCTAAGCAGATACAGAAAATAGAGAGAGTAGTCAAATGAAGCTCCAGGTACCCATCACCCACTTTCCGCTCAAGGACAAAATGCATTTATCTATTTCTTCCCATTCCCCTTACTTTCCAAATCATTTTGAAGCAAATCTTGACGTCGTATGATTGCATCCATGACTATTCTTTTATTTTTTTAAATATTTTTTTTAAGATTTTATTTATTTATCAGAGAGACAGAGGCAGGCAGAAGGAGAAGCAGGTCCCTCCTGAGCAAGAAGCCCGATGTAGGACTCGATCCCAGGACCCTGAGATCATGACCTGAGCCGAAGGCAGATACTTAACCGATTGAGCCACCCAGGTGTCCCGCATCCATGACTATTCTTGTAGATAGCTCTGAATGGTACTGGGGTAGCTTTGTACTCCACGTGACTGAGCTGGACCCACATTTCCAGGAACTCCTTTCCCTGTATGATGCCAGATGAGGAATGGCCACGAGAGAAATTTGCATAAAATTTGGGAGGCAGGAGTGGAACTGGAGCCATTGTGCCCCGAAGGGTGTCCTGTCCTGTCCTTCGTTAGGGGCAGTGGGGGACAGCAGAGGCACGGGCAAGTCCCATCCACTTGGTCTGCTTCCCCCCACGCCTCATCCAACCCTCCTGCCCAGTGACTGGTCCTGCTGGCTGACAACCCTCAGGTCATGATCAGAACTTCCTTTGTGAGCTCACAGTAGTAGCCACGAAGAATGAACGATCTTCCATAACCATCTCCACCAGCTCTTTCTGTGGTTGTCCTCCAGAAGACGGATGCTTCTGGATTCCTATAAGTTCCAACTCATTCACTTTGCCAAGGTTGGTTCATGAGTTTTCTCTGGTCCCTTTTTGAGCCTTTACTTCCCCAGCTTGTCCCACAAGTGTACCAATTACTGTAATGAATTTTTTTTAAAGATTTTATTTATTTATTTGTCAGAGAGAGAGAGACACGCAGAGGGAGAAGTAGACTCCCTGCTGAGCAAAGAGCCTGATGCGGGACTCGATCCCAGGGCCCTGGATCATGACTCTATAATGAATTTCTTATTCTATAATAGTCATAGTAGTTCTGTTTCCTTGGACTGAGGCTTGACTGATACAAAGTTTCTTACATTACCCCTGCCACACACCCACACGATACTGTTATCACACCTGAACAATTAATAATCATTCCTTAATACTATCAAATGTCCACAGGGTTTAAAACTCCCCATTGTCTTTTTTTTTTTTTAAGGATCAAATCAGGATCCAAAGAAGGTCCATACATTGACTGATATGTCTCCTAAGTCTTTTTTTTTTAAAAGATTTTATTTATTTATTTGACAGAGACACAGCAAGAGAGGGAACACAAGCAGGGGGAGTGGGAGAAGGAGAAACAGCCTTCCCGCTGAGCAGGGAGCCCGTTGCGGGGCTTGATCCCAGGACTCTGGGATCATGACCTGAGCCGAAGGCAGATGCTTAACGACTGAGCCACCCAGGCACCCTCCTAAGTTCCTTTTAATACATAGGTTCCCCTGCCTCTTTTATTTTTCTTGCAACTTACTTATTGAAGAAATCATGTTGTCTATCCTACACAGTTTGGGTTTTCCACATCTGAATTTCACTGGTTTCAGCCCCCTGGAGTCATGTGCCTTTGTCCCCAGTATTTTCTATAAATTTGTAGTTAAATCAAGATTCAGGCTTGACTTTCTGAGAAAACTGCTTCCTAAGTGATGACGGCCTGTGCCCCGCCCCTTGAAGAGGCAGGGCGAAGAATAGCTCTTAGCTGCCACTAACGATGATTGCCTTACTCGGCGGTTCTCAATATTTTTGGTCTCAGGGCCACTTTACAATTTTATTTTATTTTTAAAGGTTTTATTTATTTTATTGAGAGACAGAGCACGAGTGGGGGGAAAGGCAGAGAGAGAGAGCGAGAATCCCAAGCAGATGCCACGCTAAGTGCAGAGTCCGACGAGAGGCTCCATCTCCCGGCCTTGAGATCACAACCTGAGCTGAAATCAGGAGTCAGACACTCAACCGACTGAGCCACCCAGGTGTCTCTACTTTACAATTTTAAAAATTACTGAAGACCCCCAAAGAAGTCATTGCACTGGTCATATGGAAAATATTGGTGCCCTGAGTTATGCCAGTCTTCCAAATGTTAACGCATCTCATTATGCAACGTCAAAAGCCCATATTCATTAACATCAACACCACCCTCATCAGAGAAGTCTCTACAAACTAAGAAGCTGTCAAGTTCATTGAAGGGGACAGAAGTTGTACAAAGTTCTAATTTTTTTGAAAGCTTGAATCTTATAATTGGCAACAAATACTGCCAGTTGTTTTGCTGAGGGAGGTAACAGGATCACTTGGTCCATTTTTTGAGAAGACATCTACCAAATACCATGGCTGATGAGTCGTACTTTTAAGTTAAAAAGCTCTCCATTAAAAACAAACAAAAAAACAGCTAGTTCATCTCGCAGCTCAAATTGCACAACTGTTTTCTCTTGAGACAATGACCACTGTACTTCAATGTATAGCAGGAGTGTTTTATGGGTACATTTCATCAAAAAGATATATTTAGGGGCACCTGGCTGGCTCAGTTGGTAGAGCATACGACTCCTGATCTTTGGGTTGTGAGTTCAAGCCCCACATCGAGTGTAGACATTACTTAAAAACAAAATCTTTTGGGGTGCCTGGGTGGCTCAGACGGTTAAGCATCTGCCTTCAGCTCAGGTCATGGTCCTAGGGTCCTGGGATCGAGTCCCACATCCGGCTCCCTGCTCATCAAGGAGCCTGCTTCTCCCTCTCCTTCTGCCGCTCCCCCTGCTTGTGCTCACTCTCTCTTTCTCTCAAATAAATAATAAAATCTTAGGGGTGCCTAGGCGGCTCAGTCGTTAAGCATCTGCCTTTGGCTCAGGTCATGATCCCCGGACCCTGAGATTGAGCCCCACATTGGGCTCCTTGCTCAGTGGGGAGCCTGCTTCTTCCTCTGCCTGCCACTCCCCCTGCCTGTACTTTCCCTCTCTGTCAAATAAATAAATAAAATCTTAAAAAAGAAAAAAAGAAAACCTCCGTTTGGAAGGAAGCACAATGGTAAAGTCTTCAGACAAAAGCCGTGCAGTTCATTGAATGTTTGCATATGGTATGCAGCTTCACAGGGAAAACCTGAAAAAGAATGAAATGGCTATTCATATTTTTAAGAAAAGGTCGTCTTTGTCTTGTGCAGAACATGTAGAATATATCCTTTAATTTAGTAACTATTTTTTAAAAGGCAGTAACGCTTTGTTATTGAAACTAAAACGAATTTTAATCATAAAATTTCTGAACATCTCATAATTTTTATATACCTATCAGTTGTTTACCACTTTTATTTTTGTTTGAAGCGCAATTTTTTCCTTTTATTCCCAACCTCTCCTTTAAAAAAAAAAAAAAGGAAGTGAATTTCTAGCAATGAACTGAGAAGTCTAATATGACAGGTTTCCTCCACTCTTTGAAACTAGAGCGATCATATGAGACCTTTCCTAAGGCAAAATGGTGCAAAGCAAAGAAGCAATTACCATGAATTTATATAGAAAATTTTTTAGAGCGCCTGGGTGGCTCTGTTGCTTGGGCGACTGCCTTCGACTCCGGTCATGATCCTGGAGTCCCGGGATCGAGTCCCACATCGGGCTCCCTGCTCAGCGGGGAGTCTGCTTCTCCCTCCGACCCTCCCCCCTCTCGTGCTCTCTCTCTTTCATTCTCTCGCTCTCAAATAAATAAATAAAATCTTTTTTAAAAATGTTAAAAAAAAGAAAATTTTTTAGTGTTCCCAGACCCCCAGATTAACCACACCTAAGTTTTTCTGATACCTCAGGAATGTCTTGCTAAGTATGCACAAAATAAATTGAGATAACGCAGTTGTTAGCAGACACAGTGCAAAGGTTTGGGGGCTTGATTTTGAGATGCTGAGTGTAGTTCCTGGGAAAGGTGCTTGGTGGCGCCACTGCGTCTGCTCAGGGTGCACGCCGCCTCTATACAGAGGGCTTGCAAAACAGACCAGGGGCGCTATTTTTGCTTTTCACCTTTTCATCTTTTTTCGCAAAAGCAAAATTCCTCTTTGGATTTCGTTTGGTTAACAAAAGCAAATACTAATGTAGGTCTTTTGTATAAGTGAAGAGGTGTTACATGAACTTGCAAAAAGCAGGAGATACTTGCATGTGACTTTTGAGCTGTGTAACCTACTTTTTTGAATACTTGATAATTTGTTTTATTATGATAGTCTTTGTTTTATTACTTGACAATCCGTTTATAAAAAATTATATGTGTTGATATTATCTCTATTATATATTTCTGTTGTCTGGGAATGTATGTTACAATTCTTTGGGAGAAATAATCTGTCAAATGTTCACTGGCTTGCAAAACCATAGTGTGAGAGTTCAAACACCTAAATAAATATTGAAATGCATTTTTTTTAAAAAGCAAATTACTGAATAGACATAGTATAAAGCCTTTAAAAAACTAAGACCTTATTGGATTGGATACAACACTACATGTCTATTTAAAGTGTGTAGTCACAGAAAAAAATATCTGAAATGACATACACCAAGTTGTTAATTATAGTCAATGCTAAGAATCAGATTACAGTGAGGAATTTTTCAATCAATGTGTTCTTATATCAACATATTCCTATACTCTCTCTTAACTTTTTGCACTGATCAAGAATTAATTTTGTCCATGAACAAATAAAGAATTAAGAAAACCACCAGGATATTAGAGAAATATGAATAAATGGAGATAAATTCCTTATTCTTAACTAGAATAACTCCATATTTCAGAGATGTAACTTCACTCTCTATTAATCTATAAATTCAACATAATAAGCACACCAATGAATCTACAACAGGATTTTGTTGTTGTTGTTGTTCAGATGACTCTAATGGGAACTAACACGAGAATAGCAAGGAAAATATAAATAAGAGGGATGGTTGCTGTACTTTTACTAAAGAATAAAGTTATTAGAAAGCTACAGTTATTAAAAAGCATGATACTGATTCCAGAATAAGCCAATAGGTAAATGGAATAAACCAAAGCCCAGAAATATGTGAGTATGTATAAAAAGTTTATATGGAATGTTCACTACTTTGTTATATATTTCTGTAACATCTGCATTTTCTAAAATGGCATTCAGACAGGATGGATGCACTTAAACTAATCAAGTTACAGAAACACATGCAGAAATTCAGCCTTTACTTCCTCTTACTCACGTTGGACCGTGTGATCAGACCTGCCTCAAATTTGGGGTTCTGATTTACGAAACCTGGTTCCAGCTAGCGACAGTGTTTGGGACGCAGTCATGGACAGGAATTTGTTTGGTAGGAGATTTCCAATAAAATATTAAGCAGCTGATTTTTTATCAGATAAGTATAAGCGTTCTACACTGTTCAAACTGTGCTGTTTGTGTCCTTCTGTGGGGACTGGTTAAAATTATAATCACATGAGCCTGCTATTCTGGTTGGACCGTATTTAAGAAACATTCAAGAAAAGGCTAAAATGCAATTTATAAAGTCAGTGAGAAATAAGGACAGGAGCCAGTCATCTGTATCAGCTGGTGGCAGCCTGTCCCTTCAAGTTGGGTGAAGCTGCTTAACCCCGCCAAGCAGTTCTCATATTCCAGGTACAGA